ATAAGATTGTTTGAGAGAATATGGCACATATTCTAGACCAGGTATATTAGGTCTGGTATCAAAGAGATCCTTCAGGACTCGACAGGTGCCCGTCTTAATGACGTAAATCCAGTCGGTAGCATTACTGTCCTTACAAAGTAAAACACCACGCCTGAAAAATAAAACATCGTTAGACATTTTTCTGAATTTCACAGTAACATGGATACTAGGATTGCATAAAATTTAATGCATACTGTATCTAGTTAGCATACTGTCAAGAAACTGAAGTTCTAACAATGTCGATGCTAAAATAATTGAAACAAGATATTTATTTTTTGTGTACCTTTTGAAACAACCGTTACCTGAAAAAAGTGAAGAGACATATTCTAGGATTATTATGAGGTAATTTTTCCACGGGCCAGCCGCGGAATACGTCGATGTTACGTAGAAAACTGATGTGATCTGGTTCTTTGTCTTTCTCTATATGCATGAATATATCAATGAAGTCTTCTCTACTGACCGCTAGAAGTTCAACATTCGTCTGGCACGTGACTGTAGCGCTCCGTTTCGCTCCGTGCATTAAAGCGAGTTCCTGAAGAAATGTACAAAGGCACATTATCTAACGTAATCTTAGAGAGGTGGTGACATTGTGATTCGACGTTGCAGATGCGTTTTGCTTTTATATATAAAAAGTCGAGAATATGTTCACTTTATTCCTTTGGTCTGTAAATTAGGATCACTATTATTTCTCCATGTTGTAATATACTCTTTAGACACTTTATTATGTTATAGTTAAGGTCATATAGTGTGCTTACCCCAAAACTGTTACCTTTCCGTAGGAACGCTACTGTTCTGACTCCCTCTTCACCAGTATCCCTGTTTGTTTCTAGCAATGTGACAACGGCTGTAAATAACACAAAGTTGATATGTTTTGACACGCTAAACACCAAACTATATAGCATTTGTCACCAGTATAAAGCCAGCCGCTAGCACATTTCTGATAATTTGTTATTATTGACATCACTTAAAATTCGAATGGACTGTTCCAATTTCAAAATATGGGAAATCTTTTACACAAATTTAGCAATATTATTAATAGGTAAAAGTTTTAAATTATGTCAGTTATAAATGTTCATTCAACATACAAGGTATACACAATTTGTGATGAAACCTATCAAAAAAGGCAAGCAAATACCATACAAAATAATACCTAGTATTCTGTATAAAAGTTAAGCAGAATTAGAAAAAAAAAATTCTACCACATACCTGTCCCTGAGAGAATAAAGTAAAAATTATCAGCCATATGTCCCTGACGAATGATCACCCTCTTTGCCTCGAAACTGAAAGTAATAAAATAAGTCGTATAAATACTAGAAGGGATGGTATATAAGAGAAACTATTATTTTATTTTACTTTTTAGATACAGAAAAACAAACGAATATGTGTGCATTTGTATTCTGTAAAATAGAAATGCATATTTTATGAATCTAAATGATATTTAGAGTTCAGTTATTTTATATTTTTAAAAAGTTGTTCAATCATTATTTGTAGGGCTTCAAGCAAAATAATAATATATGAGACTGATTTTAAAATGTAATTTACATAATTACTAATTGCAAAAGACTTTGACAGTCATCGACAAGAACCAAATTTAACTACCAATTTCACTATGATTGTGTTATATTTGAGCTGCGACATGACAAAAACCAACATAATGGGTTTGCGATCAGCATGGCTCCAGACCAGCCTAAGCATCAACGAAGTCTGGTCAGGATCCATGCTGTTCGCTTACAAACCCTTTAACAAGAACATTAACTGACAGCGAACAGCATGGATCCTGATCAGATTGCGCGGATGCGCAGGCTGGTTTGGATCCATGCTGGTCGCAAACCCATTATGTTGGTTTTGTCATGGCGCGGCTCATTAGATATTTGTTGTGACTCACTTTTCATACCAGCCCACACTAGCTAGTGACTTTTGTAATTTGATTGGGAATTCTCCGAAAGCTTCTACAGTTTGATTGAGGGCAAGTAACGCTAGCTTCACCTGCTCGTCCGACCTGTCGCCTGGATACATTGACATTATCACCTTAGCCTCGTTACTTAAATACTTCTGTAAGGTTAAATTTGGTATCATATAAAATAAACGGATATATCAAATACACCACTCGTGTGTTGTTATTTATATACATAAATGCTGTTGTTAATGCAACTTATTATGTTTGTTTAAAACACGGTACTGCAATTTAACCAGTTAAATTCTCAATTAAATCAAAGTAAAAATAAATGCGCAGTATTATAAATACGATGCACGTTTTAAATACCATAGGCAGGTTATATGATCGTCCCTACACTAACAGTGTGTTGGAGCAATATAACCGTTTATATTTGGGTCATATAACCTTTCAAAATGTTTATTTCATATAACAGTCTTATGGTAGAGTATATGATGGCGAGACGGACGGGATCAGTAAGGATTCTATTTCTATTGTAAGAAAAAACAAAACACTACAATAGACCATTCATTTACAGAGTAGTATATCACCATCTGACTTCAAAAACATATTCTAGGTTAGTACAACAAACGACTTCAAGGTTCACCATCATTAACTAGCAAACAAAGTAATTCTTTAAATACTACGTTCACCGTAACGGTTAAAGTAAATGTATTCTTATAAAAATTCAGAATTTATCTTATGAAATCATGTATTGATGTTGTTAATAATAATTAGCATTGGAAGTAAGTAAATGACGTCTTTACCTCACGTTTTGCCTTGAACATGGATGGATCGAATGATATCCCAAACAGGTCGTACGTTCGTTTTGCTGTGCTCTGTTCTTCCGCAAGTTGTGACCAGGATTTGTGATCTTGATGACCTTGACTTGCATGTCTACAACAAGTAAATTTCTGGATAACAATGTCACGCACGACATGGTAAACTAATGTTACATGTTTTACTTTAACTGGAATTGATTTTACTTAGAAGGACATGTTTATTGGCTAAAATTTGTTTCCTTTTTTACATCAAAATCAAACTGTACGATAGAAGATGTATAGTCCAATTAATATAATTGAATGTAATACTAAGATCCAATCATTATGTAAGAATATATGTTGATTAAGAATAGTAGTTATATGAAATAACAAATAGATATTTCTGCTCAAAATTCTTTTCTTTTTTTCCATTAGATTGTTGTCATTCATTGTCTTATGTGAATAAATTGTTGCATTAATTGTAATTTTACCTGCTGCTTGCTGTTGCTTTCAGAAGAAGCAGAACGATTCTCGCGGCCCTTCGAAACTTCGCCAATGGCTGAAAATAAACAAAACATCATTTCTGTACATGATTGTCGGAGATTTATATATATTATGCTATATTCAGTAGCGTTTAAAACGCACGTTTTACATAGAGGATGTACAGACATGCCGTAAATCTTTTTCCATACCTCAATGTTTAGAAAACAAAAAGCTGAAACATGGAGAAAAAAAACTTACATAATGCTCCCTTTTACGAAGTACAGTTATATTTCAACACAAATTAATAAAATCAGGAGTCCTTAACACATGATAGCTTTAGATAGAGACATTTAGTTAATCGTTAGATACATAAGTTAAAGCAAAACTAATAGTTAAGTACACTTTGATCAAACGAAATTTGACAGTCACTCGCAATAAATTCGTAAATTGCTAACATTTATGTACAGGTAAACGGTATGATATAGAAAATATAACTAGTATAAATTATTACATGTTTAATTTAAAATTTTAATTAAAAATGTTTTTATTGTAAAGCCAGACATGGGTCCGTGTGTCAACAAAATAACATGTTAAAGACTGACTGAAGTGATTGAGTTTATACAAAAATATTTTTTCCATGTCCCTTTATTTTAAAAGCGTCCTCGTATCTACTTATATTACTAAAATATTACATTACTAACATATTACATTACTAACATATTACATTACTAACATATTACATTACTAACATATTACATTACTAACATATTACATTACTAACATATTACATTACTAACATATTGCATTACTAACCTATTGCATTACTAACATATTACATTACTAACATATTACATTACTAACATATTACATTACTAACCTATTACATTACTAACATATTACATTACTAACATATTACATTACTAACATATTACATTACTAACATATTACATTACTAACCTATTACATTACTAACATATTACTAACATATTGTAATACTAACGTTATACATTAATACATACACAAAGCTTTTCTTGCTTTTTATCTTTTTTATATTTAGGTATAATGCAAGTTGAAATGTTGGGTTCTTTTTAATTTCTTTTGCTATAAACAGTAGTCATAATATGATCTTCAAAAAAATACGAAGAAAAAAGAACAAAATAATGACCATAATCACTCTGGTTAGAATCATAGTTTATATCCTTATCGTATATCATTATCAGAATTAAATGAGATGATATATTACATATATAATTTACTCAGACAGTCTGTGTATTGTAACCGAACTATTGTTTTAGAAAGTATGGATTAACCATCATTACAGATGCACTAACAGGCTTATATGTTATGTTTTCGACAGAGTTCGACAGAAAAGAGTATTTCAGATTTATTCAGTATAAAACAAAATATATTTTGAATAGTTACAGTGTAACAAACTTGGATAGCTCCTTCAGTGACGAAGATGAAAATCAAAAGTAGTAAAATATTACTGTAAGTGGTAAGGCAAAACATTTTATTTCATTTTTTATAGTACTAATCAATTCAATTATTATAATTACCGGCAACATTTTCCTGGAGGTAACATTTGATAATTCCCTATTATTATCTCTCAGAAATGTTTCTATTGACCTAACACTTTTACTGACATGTGCACTGTTTGATTTTAAAGATGATTCAATTCGCGGGCTTTTATTCTCTCCTTTGTCACTGTTCTTTATATATTTAACGCTTGTATCATCATACACGGCACGTGCGCACGAGCCTCTAGTGTTACAATTTGTGCTTGTTTTCTCACCCTCAACACTCGAGATGCTCGAGTCAATTATTCGTGGTTTTATGTCATCTTCATGTTTTTGTTTTGTTAATCGATTCTTTTTTAGCACAACTTCACTCCCGTCCGGCCATTTTCTTGAAGACAGTATATCTTCCCAATCTTCCATAGTTTTATATCTTTGAATTTCTAATATGTCCCAAAACAATACCAACAAACCGAACGTTTTGCTAATGCAAAATGATACAATGGAAGCTTTAAAACGCAACAGAATTAAATAACTAATGTTTTAACTTTTTTCTTTTCCTTACGACTTTTTATTATTAGAACATTTCACATCAATCATTTTCACAATGTGTCTTATCCAGATCAAAATGAGCATGTTAAGAAATATTCTTATTTACATAGGTAGCCAAAGTAAGTGATTTACAATATCGTATAAAACATCTATATAGATGTATGCATTGCTGTATTTTGACAGTAGATAACTTCTTATGAAGTATTTTTGAAATTTATGTTATTATTGTATATTATGTCGACCTGGGTCAACCAGAAAGCAAACGGAACTATAAAACACTGGATACATGCCAGCAAAAGTATCAAAATAGAGTAAAATATTACGTGGTGTATTCCACATGAATTTCGTATAATAATTTATAACCATACTTTAAAAAGAAATTGCTTGTTTAAGTTTTTACCACTTTACACTTGTAAAGACGCGATGAAAAAAGTTAATCCAGTTTTGATTTATTAAAATTTCCCTTTTTGGAAACTAAATATACGACACATATTTTCCATTTCTGTCATGTTTTACGTGTGTTCGCTTCTAAAAATCCCCGACCGTTGATGCCACACAAAAATTGCGTCGTTTTAAGCGAAAAAAACAGGTCGCGTTTGGCTAATATTAATACATATAATGATGAAACAAATACATTAGCACGAGTTACAACACGTACCCCTGTAACATTTATATTTTCTGCGTTTCATGGAGAGTCATAAGTTAATCCTAAATCCTAGGACTTGTGACCAACTTTAGGATAAAAAGTTTTTCCACTTAAGACTGTTTCAAGTAACTGTCCTATCTTTTATAAAACAAACATTAGTTTAAAAGAAAAAGAAAAATACCAAACATTTTATATCTGCGAATATTACATTTGCTTAAATACGTGAGCCCTATGTAGATAAAGCAAGCTACACCCCTGTATGAAGTGTGCATTGACCAACTTTAAGCATAAATCAGATCAATTCATCGTTTTATTGTAAACATTTTACAATGTCAGATATTGAATCTGGTGTGAAAATAAAATAATTATATGATTTTATGGCTATGTATAGAAATGTCTAAAATATTTATTTACATAGGACATGTCAAAGTCATAAAAAGGTATAAAAATGATAAAATCGTAAAGAATGGAAGTACCGAATAACTACTTTTGAACAATTAATTTTCAAATTGGCTTACACGATTGTGGTAGGTGGGTTTTATTTAATTATACATAGCGATCGTGAATTTGATATTTACTAAAAAAAGTTGTTTCTATACTTTTTTGATGTTCAGTAAAATACAATACTATGATGTATGTTCTCTTTCTATATTGTGAACTAATTGTGAACTAATTGTGAACTACTGTATGATAAATCATGGCAGTAAATATTATCTCTACAAACATCGTTGTTCAATTACCACATTGGCACACAATAATCTCATTATAACATGCGACCTGTGTTCGATCATAAATAAAATGACTTTCAGATAGGATTTTGTAGAAACATCAATTAGCATCTTAATACACGTGTCACGTGCGGTTCAACCCATGACAAAATATTCTAGCGAGTGGATAATTACATACTGATGGAATTCTATAAATAAATACGCACATTGTGTAAAATGTGGTATGAATAATAATATCTGTCATATGTTGCGGCTCGGACCGGAAAATCCGTCCCGAGGCAAGCGACTCATTTGGCACCCCCATGCCAGATGAAATTTCCGGCATGGGTAAAACTCACGGAAACGCCAGTCTGATATGCAAGAAATACGCACACTCCCCTCCTTCCCCCCCCCCCCCCCAAAAAAATCTCTTATTTATAAAATGACGAAAGAATTTACACATCTGTTTTATTTTTTAAAATCTATTTATTTCAAAATCCTTTGATATTTCTCATAAGGTTTAAAAATTCGGACATGGAAACATTAAATTCACCAATGTTTTATAGTTATGTCTAATCTGAAGATTCCGCTTCAAAACCTAACTGATAAACAACAACAACAACAGCAGCAGCAACAACAACAATATTTACTTGAAACCCATTTGAGAACTGACATGAGCCTAAAAGGAAAAACATGACAATTTTTTCAAAGCGATTTGATGAGGACTAAACAATCTATCATATTATACAACATATTTTTCAACAGTGTTTTTTGTGTGAAAGAATCTGATAGAGTTGTTATTTTAAATGTTCTTATCTACTGATTAACGGTGATGATAAATATGTTCCTAATCGAACAACTCTGTTAACCCTAAATCAAACATCCCTTAATCGATACTTTTACTTAATGATCAACTTTGATCGCTTATTGACAGATCAATAATCAATAACATAGATAACAACTGATGTTTAATTATAGAGAGGTTAGTAAGATCTTCCAAATATCACTTATGGCTTTTTTTTTAACTTAAAATAAATATCATTTTTTTACAGATTATTATTTATTCCAAATTAAAAAATTTGTAACTACAACTTCATAATGTATTTTTCTTTGTTTTGTTTCAACCCAAAAACTATAATAAATTTTATTAATGTTTGTAGCTGTAATAATTTTAAGGAATCGTAAAAATCACAGGCAATTGTTCTAAATTGACATACAGTACATATTTTGTAATAAGGGAAAACTTAAAATTTAATTTTGAAAATCTTAATTGTTGTTATCCTGATTTTACGGAAGCGTCCTGGTGCCAATTTAACATCTTCTATAAAAAAGATAACTCCTACGTAGGACTTTGTAACTCCTACGTAGGAGATAAAAAAGCCTAATTAGGAGTTTATAACTCCTACGTAGGACTTTGTAAGTCCTACGTAGGACTTTATTAGTCCTACGTAGGACTTTATAACTCCTACGTAGGAGATATAAAAACCTTATTAGCAGTTTTAAAGTCCTACGTAGGACTTACAAACTCCTACGTAGGACTTTATAACTCCTACGTAGGAGATATAAAAACCTATTTAGCAGTTTTAAAGTCCTACGTAGGACTTACAAACTCCTACGAAGAACTTTATAACTCCTACGTAGGAGTTAAAAAAGCCTAATTAGAAGTTTATAACTCCTACGTATAGGACTATATAAGTCCTACGTAAGACTTTATAACTCCTATGTTAAAAAACCTAATTAGGAGTTTTAAAGTCCTACGTAGGAGTTTAATAGTCCTACGTAGGAGTTTATAACTCCTACGTAGGACTTTATAAGTGTTCCTCTACGTAGGAGTTATAAAGTCCTACGTAGAAGTTATAAACTCCTAATTAGGCTTTTTTTATCTCCTATGTAGGAGATTTTTTTATAGAACATTATGAATTGGCACCAGGACGCTTCCGTATGATTTACTCACCTAATTTTACATGCAATAGTTTTTTTGTTTATTTTTAAAGTAATGTACTTTAATTATAAATGTAATGAAATATTAGAAATATAATAAAATATTACGAACGGAATGAAATAATATACGTAAATGAAATATTAAAAATGTAATGAAATATTAGAAATTCAATAAAAAAAATGTAATAAAACAAAGAAACGTAACGAAATATAAAAAAGGTAATGAAATATTAGAAAGTTAAATGTAATAAAATATTAGAAAGTTAAATTAAATGAAATATTAGAAAGTTAAATGTAATAAAATATTAGAAAGTTAAATGTAATGAAATATTAGAAAACTAAACGTAATAAAATATTAGAAAGTTAAATGTAATGAAATATTAGAAAACTAAACGTAATAAAATATTAGAAAACTAAATGTGATGAAATATTAGAAACGTAATGACACATTAGATATGTAATGAAATATCCAAAATGTAATGAAATGTCAAAAATGTCAAAAATATTAGAAACGAAACTAAAATTTAATATTAGAGACGTGAAATAATGAAGAATTAGAACCGCTCATCATTTTCTTTGTACATCGGATCATAAACTGCTAGCTTTTGCCAATAAATATAGAGCATGGCCGTGCAGTATGACCAGCTTTACTGTCTGGCCAACCTAAACACTCGTACAGTCTGATCAGGTTTTACAGCCAGGTCAGCCTGAACAACCCGTAAAGTCTGACCAGGCAATGTATTGCTGGCTCAAATTTTGTAGTTTCATATTGTAACAATCAAAATTAACAAAATATTGTCCAACTTTAAAGCAGGACAAATCTGCAACAAAAATATATCAGCCGGTTAAGTCTTTAAACGTGAAGGGTTAGGGTTAGGGTTAGCCCTAGCCCTAACCCTAACCCTAACCCTCTCTTTAAACGTGAAAACATAACGAAAACTTACGTCAAAACGCCGTCTGCTCTGTCTGGCTTTTAAAACGCTGTCAAACGTCTGTAGGGATTTAATCTTTTTTAATAATTTCCGTCTTTTATTTAGGTTAATCTGACCTTTCGAATTTCTCTTCTGGTCATCGACCCTTGTAGATGACCCGTTGAAACTATTCAATGATTTCGTTTTCATAAAACGTTTCTCAAAGTTTGACAGAGTGTTAGTGTTATATTCTGAGCGAATGTCACGTGGTAAAATTTGAGATTTCTGTAGAGGTACTAAACTTGAAGACCTTTGTTTTTGTGCTATAACCGACGTCTGGCTGGACAAACTGAGATGACGTGATCTCCGTGAAAGTTGAGCACCAAGAGAATCTCGTGCAAGATATCTGCTGTTACTAAATACCAGATCAGATAGTGACCCTCGTCGACTTGTTATATAATCTGTGATTGATTCTCGTCGGTACATTTTATTGTTCTCTAACGGCAAGTCGGATTCACTGAGAAACTGTCGTCGGCTAAACATTGTCATAAAAATGTATTTTTCTCGATGAGTTATCCGTTGAATCCTATGTTCCGTGAATTTGTTAATTTTTCCAAAGGTAAAAACTTTATAAATTTCATCACCGGTGTCAATCTGTGCATTGTCATTATAAAGCCAGATTCGTCATGTATATATGATATAGCAGATACGGCAACAATTAATACCACCACAAACACTTTTAGAACACTGTTTTTTCATGACCTTTCATAATAACTAAGTATAAGACTATATATTTAATCAGATATGATTTATTACTTTCATAACATTAGAGTCTACAATAGCGTTTGATGCGGCGTTCATGCCGATGATAAGACCAGTAGATTATCGTTGCGGGTCTCCCAGGCATGATGACACGGGCGTTCATGGCAGACGACAGCAACGTTTGCTTTATGAGCGTTTCTATAATCTCAAGAAGACTACAAAGATTACTGTAATCCTAGTAAGATTATTGCAAATAAATCACACATTGAACTAATACTTTCCTTCTCTCCCAGTCGCGTTGTATGAATGTGATTTAGCATTATTTGAGTTGTTAAAGCCGTGTATCTTGATTGTTTTACACATGTTTCTGAAGTACCTTTTATAATGTTATTCGTTCCAAAGTACTTTTATTTTGTTTAGAGAAGTACATCAATAAAAAGATTTATGCAGGATAAAACAAAATAATTCGTAAAGAAGTACAGAGGGCAGCATGTACTATTTGTGGTTATCGACGGGTAATTTATCAACACTGTATGGATCAATACAGTTGCTCAAGAGTAATTTATTTCCCGTTGTTTCCTAACATCACCTCACAAGGTTTTAACGTACAAGTGTTTAGTAAACATGTCTTCCTTATGTTCAACAACGTCGTATTTATTATAGTTGTATTAGATGTGATAAATAATTTCAGTTGCATGACAACCCTGGACATCACATATTTAGCAACATTTAGGTAAAACGAAAAATGTCACTTTAAATGTGACTAAATGTTAATTCTTTAGGCTGCTTAAGTTACTTATAGGGGTGCTTATTGTAAATAATGAGGCGATTGTATGTTAATTATAAGGTACCCTAATGTTAATTATGAGTTTGGTTACATGATATTGTTATGATTCTTAATTTATTATAGATTTACTTTCAGGTTAAAGTGTCACCCTGAAGAAGGTATACTAAATGCAACACAATTTTCACACATTAAAGATTTGTGAAATAATAAAAAAAACTGTTGCTTGTATCATTTTATATTATACTGAAGGTTATTTGGATAAGAATTGAATTACAAGGGAAACAATTTTTATATTCATATATTAAATCCCGTTATTTAGACACTAACACGTTATTTGTAATTAAGTTAGTATAATTAATAACGAAAAATCGCACGATAAGATATGCCCCTAAATTCGAAACTACCACGAATGGCTACTTGTGTATAGACACAACGAAATGTCATGGTTACTGAAAATTTATGGTTTATTATATTGTTCTAAACTGTCACAAAATTGTTTTGCTACGTTACTTTTGGAATAAGGTTAAATTCCACATCTTTCAATAATAAATGATAATAGCAACAACTCTGCTATGACTATCACGTGTTACAGACAGCAACAAAATCGTCAAAAACCATCCATGGAAAGGTCATGCATACTATATTTTTAATCATAGAAATGACTAATAATAATAACTAATAATTAATTTCTAGGACTACACGTCTCATACATATCAATGCTAGCGAAAAGTTGTATAAAGGACTGATATAGACAGGTGTATTTATCTACAAGTTTCCCAAATGTTTTTGTGTGTTTCGGCTATGTCTGCGCTACCTTACCACTGGCACCCGAACCCTGGCTAGCGGAGAGTGACAGCATTCGTCTACAACACATTGCCAACACTTTTTGGGAACCAGCAGAAACGGCAAGATCTGAGCTAATCCAAACTGTAACTTGGTGTTCTTTGACGGAAGTCTGTACACTTTTAACATTTTTTAAAAAAATTCAATTTTTAAGTTCATGTTATATAATGCCGATATATAACAGAAATATTTGATGGAATCTTTGGTAATTCTTTTTCGCGTCAAAGCCTATATGACACAAGCGTGCGTTTTCAAATTCAAATTTTAAATTAATTTAAAATCGTAAAATCGTTCTTGTAGACACACTGTAACCTATACTTACTCTTAAAAAGTTACAAAAACATTGTTTTTGTGTGTCGATTTACCATCAGAACGTCAGGGCCAAATCGATCAAATATAAATGAGCCGCGTCACGACAAAACCAACGTAATGCGTTTGCGACCAGCATGTATCTAGACCAGCCTGCGCATCCGTGTAGTCTGATCAGGATCCATGCTGTTCGCTATCAGTTTCTCTACTTGTAATAGGGTTTGTAAGCGAACAGCATGGATCCTGATCAGACTGCGCGGATGCGCAGGCTGGTGTGGATCCATGCTGGTTGCAAACGCATTGTGTTGGTTTTGTCGTGACGCGGCTCATATAAGTATACTAGATAAACATACTTTATATGTCCTCCGTGTGCAATTTTAACAAGTTATTACAGAAATTTAGAAGGAACACAAAACATAATTTATAAAACTTGCAACTTTGGGTTTTCAAGTAATGTAGATTTGTGTAATATTGAATATGCTGTTTTATACAAAATTAAATGCGTTATAAGTTACATACTAACATTAAATTATGTCGCCAACAATGCTCTGGCCATTCTGTAAACCAATACCATCTGACTGGAACTTTATTCAGGTACATATATCAAATGTTCAATTGGTGATTTGTCTGTATGATTGTGATATTCAAATTTCATCGAAATACGCTGTTAAATCAGAATCTAGACGCCAAGTGTTTAATGCTTCAACTTTTTTTTAAATGTGAAGTTCGGTTTTCTTTCTCTTTCTTTTTCTTGTTTAATTATCACGTTTCTTTCACCACGTGTCGTTAATAGTTAAAATATATCATTGCACGTTTTTTAGAGTGTACACTCATTCAAAATTTATTTCAATGAAAAAACACAAGAAAACCACGCTTATCATCGATTATGGAATGTTCGTTTTCTTTTGTTTCTTTATTTTTTTCTTTTTGTTTTGTTGAATAACGGATAAAGCTATTGTTTTGCAACCCGCAGTCTGTACGTATATAGTAGGTATGATAGTTTTTATTGTTAAACATGCTGATATTAACCCTTTAACCCGCGTAGCTTGTGTAGTGAATTTTCCCTTTCTGAAATTATATGGATTTTAAAACCACAGTACACAATCAACAGTGTAGAACCTGGTCAGATACCACGGATGTGCAGGCGTAACACTGTACTGAAAGCAACTTCCGGTACCAGCAGGTAAAGGGCTAAATACCTACTAGAAAACATCTATAAACAATCTGCTCACTGATACGGTCTGGGGCGTATTTTTCTTGTCATATTTATCATCATGTACTTGATCTGATAGTTAATAATTTTTAGCTTGTACTGTTAATTAATTCTGTCGCCTATCATATCTAATACAACAATAATTATTAAGCACATAAATTACGGAATTCTTATAATTCTATTTCTGTATAGTATTGAATTAAACTCGAAGCAAAGCCCTTACCACTGAACATTCGTTGCCATGGTTTTCAAGAATGACCGGATGCGGCACCTTGTTTGCGTTCCCTCCCGTCGTTGCCATCTTCACCAGTCGAATAATGTCACACATATTTTCATATAATGAAGGCAAATTTCCTCACTTTAAATGTCGGATTATTTAAGATAATATTATAGTTGAGTACTAACTCATGATACATTGTTAGAACTTCAACAACTTTATCACATTCAACATCCAAATGCCATTTGATATTTTAGATGGTTCGGTATTTGACTTTTTACCATGTACATAATTAAATGTTTTACAGCACTAAAAAGTCAGTTAGATTTTAAAGCATGTTTTCCTTTTTTTCCAAATGCATCTACTCGACTTTGAGACCCCCTCACGCTTTACAAATAAAGTAGCCTAAAATAGACCGTGTAAATTATTTTTTGTGCTAAACACGCCTATAAAATCTTTGAAAGATCGCAAGTTGATTTATGACAATAAATCAGGTTTTTTTGTTGAAAAACAACAAAAACAAACAAACATATAACGTTTCGTAGTCAAACAAATCTTTAAAACTGTCTTTTTTTGTCATCGAAAAAAATTATTTATTTCCTATACGTCACTTTATATGAGCAATAAATTCAAGTGAATAGTAACTTTTGCCGTTAAAATACAGTCCTTCACAATTGAATAAATAAACATTTTGTTACGATTATCAATTTTGAAATAAGAAAGACACTCGAAACTTGATGTGAATGGTAACTACTAGACAATTGCAGAGCAAACTGTATGAATAAATGAATGTACATTCACAATACATAGATAGAAAAAGGTGTTATCAAAGTAAACACGAGTAATCTGTGACCCTAACATTTCTATTGTTGTCATACAAATGCCATCCTTACATTTATTAAAATTACGCGTTTATCTTGGATTTAAATAAAATCATCAAATGAATTTTGTGAAAAGTTTCGATCACTTTATCATTCACTTTGTCTACTGTTTCCAAAGTGTTGAGATCAGGAAAGGATTTCGAAATTAAAATACATCAAACAGAAAACTGGAAAACGCTTGATAAATGAACTTATATATGACAGTTTAATGTATTTAATGATATTGGATGGTAGTATGGTGAGGCGTGATGTGGTGCATGCGATGGGTCTTGTTGCAGTGTGGTGTAGTGAGGTGCGATGTGGTCCGGTGTAGTGAGGTTCTATGTTGTGTGGTGCCGTGAAGTGTGATAAGGTGCAATGTTTTGGATCGCGAGGTAGGGTGCGGTGATGTGTGGTGAGGTGATGTCCGATATATTGCGGTGCAGTGTCGAGTATAGTGCGGTGTGGTAAAGTGATGTGCGATGCGATGTGGTGTGTTGTTGCTTGATGAAGTGACGTGTAATGTCGTGTGGTAAGGCGATGCGGCGTTGTGCTATGTAGTGTGGTTGGAATATGCATATGCAAGGTTTGGAAGGCATGGTCAGGTCTGGTATTATTATGAACTATCCGGGACGGTTGAGGAATCGCCGTCGTTTATCATCGTCTGACAATGTACAGAGTTGCGCAATGTAGTACGAACAGTCATAATAAAAGCGTTCAACTGAAGTTTCATGTTTCCAAACAACCATTTGTAACATTTGTAATCTCAGATATTAAGAATGTTAAATATGTAAGAAGAAGATAAACATGTATCTTGAAAAAAACTGGCGTTCTTTTCTAACCATAGCCCTTATATTGAATGTACTGTTGTATTTGACAAAATGTTCGATTAGTCACACACCAATAAAACATTACAATATATATATAAACTCAAAAGGCAAGCTGACTCAAATACGACGAAAGAATTTCATTTATTTCGTAAGTTTCAGAAAGGAGGAATTCTTTTGTAAAGAAAAGTTTCCTTTACTCTCCTTAATTAAACTGACAGGATTACCATTTTATCATTTTTTCAACTTGTTTGAAATGTTCAACATGAACAGAATTAGGGTATACAATTTCTTTATCATAAAGTCTATGATATATTAAAAAAATTACAGCGTTAAACTTTTAAAAAGTCTATGATTATTTTTATATTCTAAGCGTTATATCTTCAAAATTTCTATGATTTTTTTTTT